GGGATCCAGTGGCTTGGTGGGCCAGATTCGGCTTGCGGGCCATATTTTGCCCAGCCCTAGCTTAGACAATAAGCCCAGCAGAAGGGAAGAGTCCTTCACCAAATGCTACACAACTAATCCCGGGGGGGAATTTTGTGCCAAAATATTAAACATTCGGTGCACAATATTTTAAAATTCTGAAAAATATGCATATTTTATTGGTCAAAGTAACACATGTAATTACAGCTCCTGTTGATAGCAGAAGCCTCAACTGCCTGTGTCACACATTGGCAGGAGTGCTGCTGGAAAAAATCACAAATTCTGTAGAAAAAAATAAGATTTTGCAGGAAACATTAATGCTGTGCAAACTCTGTATTGTGCAGTGGCACAGAATTCCAGCAGGGTCAGACAGAACAGGATCAGACAGAACAGGATCATGACAGAACAAAAAATCACCAGTGCTAACTGAATAAAAAGAGTTAGAGAGAAATTGGAAAATAATTCCTGTTGCTTAAACAACTGCCCCGCTTGTTAGGAAACTTAAAGGTGATATGAAAATGTGCTCTTGTGATGAAATTGAGTACACTGAGTTTTCACTCAGAGCTAATTTGTACAGCTGGCATAAACCTTTCAAGACTAGGGGTTATGAAAGATAAGGTGATGCAATCTTGAATGCAGTGACATACGCGAATGCTATTATTGTGCATCTGAGGAGCCCTGTCCTTTCCTGGAGACTTATATCCAAGAGTATATTAGTACAGAAATAGTCAACATTTAATACTGTTGATGATTAGCTACAACAGCTGAGTTCTGCAGAGCATTTGCTGTTCCATCATGGAAAACATGGAAATGATGTTTAGACTATCAGAAATATTGCCAAAGTTCTGCAGCATCTGTGGAAAGTCAACTTGAAGTAATCCATGGCATAAAACCAAGTCCCCTTTTCAAAACTATATTATATATTGTTTAGATATTTTGAAGAATAATTAGCCTGAAAAAAATCCCAACTATTAATTTACAAACATAAAAATGAGAGTAGTTTAGTACAAAATATACTTCTAAATGTGCCATCGCTGAATGGAGTAAAATCCACTCTGAAATAGCCCCACCTTCATCCCCAAGAAGAATGGTGTGTGTAAGCATATGCATGTGAGGAAGAAGAGCAGGTAAGCAGAGAAAGAGAATTTACTAGCAATGTAAAACACTGACTTCCATGAAACTTGGGAGGTGGGGAGTATTTGGCTGTTACAGACCACAAAGCCCTCAGACTGCAGTGGTATGTTTGAAGTCAAGTGGATAGGCAACAATGACAGGGTTTTTTATTACTTTTGGGATCTCCCTTTATCACAGATTAAAGAGTATATTCAAGATCACAGTGAAGACAAATTTTATACTCCTGGGGCAATGGCAGAAGAGCTCTGAGTGTTAATGGTGTTAGTCAACTCAGCTAAACCGTATTGCTAAGTCACTACTGTACAGGGCTGGTGACAGACTTTGCCAGGACCTGGGCTATGTATGTGTGTGTGTTGGGGAGGAGAAGGGCACCTTTGAGATCTCTGGAAGGGGTGGGGCCTTGGGCAGCAGGGGGTAGCTAGTGGGTAGCCTCCCCCAGCCAGCCCTCAGTGCCACCTGGATCTTGCTATGGTAGCAGTGGCCTGGAGCCCCAGGTCCTTTTAAATCACTGAGCCCAAGGACAAATGCCCCCTTAGCAGCTTTGCTACTGTTCAATGGTTGTTTTTTTATCTGAAATCAGAATGGTTTGAATATGCAAATACAAAATCCTTTTTATTCCTGACTATACAAATAATAATACCAAGCATATAGGCCAAACAAACTATAATTGCCAGCTCACTAACTCACTCACTGGCAGAGGAAGTTCTTGAATGGTAGAATAATTTTAGCATCCTGGGAAAGGCAAAAACATGATCACGGTCTCCTCTCTGAATTTAATATACTTGTCATCTCAGTGGACACAGTGGAAGAAGAATAGTGAACTCACATAGAATCATAGAGCTGGAAGAGACCTCAGGAGGTCATTAAGTCCAGCCCCTTGCTCAAAGCAGGACCAATCCCAACTAAATCAACCCACCCAGGGCTTTGTCAAGCCAAGACTTAAAAATCTCTAGGGATGGAGATTCCACCACCTCCCTAGGTAACCCATTCCAGTGCTTCACCATCCTCCTAGTGAAATAGTTTTTCCTAATATCCAACCTAGACCTCCCCCAGTGTAACTTGAGACCATTGCTCCTTGTTCTGCCATCTGTCACTACTGAGAACAGCCTTTCTCCATCCTCTTTGGAATCTCCCTTCAGGAAGTTGAAGGCTGCTATCAAATCCCCCCTCACTTCTCTCTTCTGCAGACTAAACAAACCCAAATCCCTCAGCCTCTCCTCATAGATCATGTGCTCCAGCCCTCTAATCATTTTGGTTGCTCTCCACTGGACCCTTTCCAATGTGTCCACATCCTTTCTATAGTGGGAGGCCCAGAACTGGACACAATACAGATGTGGCCTCACCAGAGGCAAATGAAGGGGAATAATCACTTCTCTAGATCTGCTAGCAATGCTCCTCCTAATGCAACATAATATGCCATTAGCCTTGCTGGCTACAAGGGCACACTGTTGACTCATATCCATCTTCTCATCTACTGTAATCCCCAGGTCCTTTTCTGCAGAACTGATACTTAGGTAGTCAGTCCCCAGCTTGTAACAATGACATCATTTAAGCCTGAAGCTGCTCAGTATTTTCAAGTACACTTGAATGTTTGTAGATAATACTATGCTGGGAGGGTTCACAAGTGCTTTAGAGGATGGGATTCACAATGATCTGGACAATCTGGAGAAATGTTCAAGGTAAATAGGATGAAATTCAAAAAGGACAAATGTAAGGTACTCTACTTAGGAAGGAACAATCAGTTGCTGACATACAAAATGGGAAATGCCAAAGGAGGAAAACTATGGAAAGAAATCTGGGGGTCATAGTGGATCACAAGCTAAATATGAATGATGCTACTGTAAAAAGGTGAACATCATTCTGGAATGAATTAGCAGGAATGTTGTAAAACAAAAGCAGTAATTCTTCCACTCTATTCTGTGATAATTGTGCATCTATTGGATTATTGTGTCTAGTTCTGGACACAACATTTCAGGAAAATTTGGACAAATTGGAAAAAAAACCCAGAGATGAGCAATAAAAATGATTAAAGGTCTAGAAAACATGAGCTATGAGGGAAGATTAAAAAAACGATAGGTTTGTTTAGTCTAGAGAAGAGAAAACTAAGAAGGGATATGATAACCATCTTTCAAGCACATAAAAGGTTTTCATAAGGATGAAGGAGAAAAATTGTGCTTAACTTCAGACAAGAGGACAACAAACAATGGGCTTAAACTGCAGCAAGGAAGGTTTAGGGTGAACATTAGAAAAATTTCCTAATGGTCAGTGTGCTTAACCACTGGAATAAATTGCTCATCACTGGAGATTTTTAAGAGCAGGTCAGATAAACATCTGAATGGTCTAGATTGGGGTCAGCAATAATTTTTAAAGGGGAGCCACATCACAAATTTCTGAAGTGACCCTGGTATGCCCCGGAAGGGGCGGGACCTCAGGCAGTAGGGACGGAGCCAGAAGACTTCTTGTGCTCCCCCATCCACAGACCCTGGTTGGCCTGGGATTTGGTGAGCACATGAAGTCATTGCCCCCTTCCTCCGACACCTGGAGAGAATAACCAGCTGTTTTGAACAGCACGTGGTAACCTCTAGGTGCCACACACACCTAGTGGCAGGAGGAGACTTTGCAGGTTCCCCCCATCCCTGGCCAATCAGGGGATGGGGGCAGGAGAATGTGTGAAATTTTGCCCCCTACCCTGCCAGGGGTGCACAGCTGCTAGAGAGAACTATCAGCTGGTTTAAAACTAATGGGTGGCTCCCATTAGTTCTGAGGGGAGAAGACTTTGTGCGCTTCCCTGTCCCCAGAACTCGATTGGCAGGCTGGATCAACTGGCTTGGTGGGCCGGATCCGGCCAGTGGAGGCTGTCTTGCCCACCCCGATCTAGATAATGCTTAGCTCTGCCATGAATATAGGGGGCTGGACTTGATGATCTCTTGAGGTCCCTTCTAGTCCTATGAGTCTTGATTCTGATATCAGAAGGTATTGTGGAGCACAGATCATTTTTAGAGATGCCTAAAAATGTCATTCCCTATTGTCTCTAAATAAGACACTGCTAAGGAATTATAACATCACAATTACCTTTTTTAAATCTTCCATGTTTTTTCTTCACTGGGGATTCTGCAATAGAAAGAAAAATACGAAGTTATTAAAAATTAATAGCAAAAGGGTTGTGTGTAGAATGAGACAATGGCATTTTGTCAAAGCCCAAATTAGGCAAAATGTGGAAGAACCTGACTATTTCACCATCCCTAGCACTTATCTACATTGCAAATGTTTTATACTTTTGCTAACATGGGTTTCAGCTCCAGGAACATGGAAAAGGTCTGTTATATCTCTGTTACTGTGACATGTGAAGTACATCAGGGAAGATTCCCGGCCCTTTTAAAGACAGTGGCAAAACTCCCATTGACTTCAATAGAGTGAAGATTTTGCCCAATGTCAGCTAACTCTGCACACCACAGATTTAATAGACAGAATTCTTTAGATGCCATTGCCAGCCAGTGGCTCATTTATACCAGGCAACCAACATCGCACATTCAGGAATTCCTCACTTAAAGATGTCTCGATTAACATTGTTTCGTGATTAGGTTGCTGATCTATTAGAGAATAGACTCACTTACAGTCATGCAATGTTCCATTATAAGATTGTTTTGTTCTCCCACTCTGCCCATCCAGCATTCCAGCAGGGGGAAAGGAGTCTTACCCCACTCCACCCATCTAGTATTCCAACTGGAAATGGGCATGCAGGCACTGCAGGATTGTCATTAGGTGCTTGGCTGTGGTCCTAGGTATCTGGGAGTGCTCCTTATGTCCTGTCTGCTTTCTACCATTCACACTCATACAGGGACAGGCACACACTAACTCAGTATTTTCAAAGTGCTGATTTTATCCATCCCTTGGATATTAAAAACATGCTCAATATGATTTGTTTTAAAGTTCCCTTCCTTCAATCCATGGTTACATTTAAGAACTGGGATACTTGACTGTAGATTTAGTATCTCACCTGACCCAGTGACATATTGTCTAGCCATTTGTTATGCCTCTAGATCAAGTGGTAGAGGCCTGCAACTGTAAAATGAACCGAAGATATTTTCTAGTTTGCTCCCATAATCAGACCCCAGTTTCAGAGCCTGAGCCAAAGCCCACAGAATATTCTCAGTGCATAGATTTAATGTAGAAATGAATCTCTCTCTTCAAAATAATCACTGGACTACATTGTGCTTAACATAGAACAATAATACACCGAGATCTCTTAAAATGAGAACTCCTCAGTTGACTTAACATTATGTTATAGTGTTGAGAAAACTAGATTAGAACTTGGAAATCCTTCGTTTATATTTACATAAAATAAATTGTTGGATGCTAACTTCAATGTCTATAGTTCAACGTAACTGAACTTGTCAACATTATTCATTGGAAAAATGCTAAACATGCTTCACATTTCAATAGAAAACATGATGCTAATATAAGCCCAAGGCCTCCAGACTTTGAAAAATTCTCCAGTTACAGTATGTGTTAAGTATTAGGTACATTCCATTCTTATGACTATTAGCTTTGAAATAATATTTGCATGAAAGCAATACTTTTGAATTAGAACTAGGTGAATTGTGGAGGAAAAGTATTCTTGAAAATGTTCACTCAATCCAAATTATGATTTTACCTAACCATGTTTGTTCATCCATGAACTCTCATGCGACATTTTTGTTTACATGAACATTGAAGGGAGGAAACTTTTATTTCTAACCACGCAGAAACATTCACCCCAGAATTACTCACTTTCAGTCATGTAATCAGAGATCAACAACAGTGATTTTATGAAACGTTTGTGAATGCATAGCTCCAAATCTATTGGCATACACTATTTTGAATAACAAAGAAATCTGGGAAAACCACAAAAAAACAATTCATAGAGTCCGAATGTAGCAATCTCTGTCATGGTTATCAGCAAAAATTGAAACTGAGATTGTCAAAAGCAAAGCACGAGTCTCTACCATTTGATCTAGAGGAGTAACAATAACCAGAGAGCAGATGCAGGTTCTTATCCTCTGTGGGGACCAGCCAGTTGAAAGGTTACAAATGGTTACAAACTGAGAAAACAGGGACAAATCACTTGGATTAATGCTCCCTTTATGTTATTCTTCTAGGTCCAGTCCTTGCCTCCTTCCACCTCCAGTTAACTATCTGGAACTCTCTTTTTGACTATACTTGCATCCCCCCTTTTCTTCTTTCCTTTAATTCCTCCCTGTAACCTATTCCATCAAAGTTGCTTATAAGCTATGCTGCATCATTTCCACCTGTCTTAATTACATAAAAATTCATCTGTCTATAAATACATGCTAGCTTCTCATGTGACCACATAATCCTCCTGTGCTCCAACTCAGCTTGTTCCCATCCCCTGACATTGCATTTTTTTCCTCTTCATCTTCACTGAAGCTCCACCTCCAAGTCACTGCCTTGCTATGAGCTGCTTCATGGGACTTTGCCTGGGCGCAACAGTCCATATCAGGGAAAGAAATGTCAGAATCAGGGCCTCAGTATGGAAGCAGTTCAGGAAGGGACTCACTCTGTATCTGCTCCATGAATCACCATACACACACATTTAATACCATAAAAACAACTCAGGGCATGTCTACACAGCATAGCTAAAGCCGAAATAAGCTATGCAACTTGAACTAAGTCAATTACGTAGTTTAAGTTGAAATAGCTTATTTTGGTGCTGTCTACACAGCAGGAAGTCTGAGAAAGAGCACTCTTCCCCTGACTTCCCTTGCTCCTCATAAATTGAGGGTTACAGGACTCAGAGTAAGAAGTCCTCCAGCTTGACAATATTTCAACATTATATCGAAATAACCGCTTGTAGTGTAGATGCAGACTATGTTAAATAACACAGCTGTGTACACGTACCCTCAACAAGCTCACTTCCATGTACTGTAGTAAGTGTTTTCCAACTTTTTACATTTTGTTTATTTTTTATATAACTTACATTGAGAAAAAAATCACTGAGGCTTGAATATGTGTAACTGATACCTTGGCTGTGCCTTTAATGGTGTGCATCCTGAGAGAGGGTGAACAGTGGCACAGCTGCTGCTCTTCCATCAGAGTTTACTGCCAGAAGGAAGCAGCATTAATTTAAAAGTTAAGGTGGCATAAGTCAATGACTCCAAGGCTTAATGAGTCATCTTATTTCCCAGCCAGCCTGGATAAAACCCCACCTTTACTTTCACTATTTTCCTTTTGCAAGATTCTAGTCTCTTACAGGTCACCAGTGGCAGAGGGCTCGTTACCGCTACTTTCACTCCTACAGGTTTTAGGATGAATCCCACCCACTATCTGACTCCTGTTGAGAAAATAAATCAATAAAAAGGAATTCAGAGTATTTTATGAGAACGCTATTGAAGTGTGCATTAGTTTAAGTCCTTTTTAGTTCAGTATTTTAAAAAATTTGTTCATCTTGAATGTTCCTGAATATGATTGATCATAAATATTTCTATAGCAACGTAACTTTCCATGGCACTTCATGAGGTGCTCATGAAAAGTGCTAAACTTCTGGCAGTGGTTTTTATTGCACTTCTTTGCCACCCTCCCAACAGTAATTTCTTTTTCTAGGCTGCCTTTGACAAATTTGTTCATTTGGAAGTATCATGCTAAAATTTCACATTGTACTTTTAAAGCAAAACTACCAAGACAGATCCCAGATGAAGCTTCATTGTCATGCATTCTCCTTCCTCCCCTGGGATAATCCAGATGGCCTAATTTAAAAATATATATATTCTTCAAAGCAACTAAATACACAGAGAGGTGACTATGTTTTGTTTGAATATATTTCTGTCCCTTCCTGTTAGCAGAAGTTTGTACCTTATGTACAACTCCAGGACCTTTTAATTTTCTGGATGGTAACATCAGATTGTTTAGTATCTTCTTACCCACATTGATTCCAAGTTTCATGCCAGAATCAGTAGATTTGTTTCAGCTGGCAGTCTTTACTCTTCTGGCATAAAACAGGCAAGACTTATTATGACTATATAGCTCTCGGACTTATTTCATTAGCAGACAGTTCAATAGTTTCTTCGCAATTCTATAATACCCAAATGCACTGTTGAGTTAATTTCTCCTGGGGAAGCAAACAACATTTCTGAGTAGCTTTGCTCTTCAATTAAGCATAAACTCATCCACTGTAGGTATTTCCAAACACAAGAAAAATGAATCAGCTTTTTTTTACACTATACTAAGAAATAGGACCTATGTGTAAATCTACTTGTATAGGTACAATATTAAACAAACATAAAAATTGCCTGTAAAAGTAATTTTCTCCTATGCAAAGTTTGTATTTACTTTCTCCTTATCTCTCTTTTGTGCAATGTTGCTGATTTCTTGGAAACTGTTGATTGCACCAAGCAGTGATGCAAACTCTGTCAGAGAAAACTTTCAGTGCTCTCTTGGCTTAGGTCTACACTTAGGCCTACACTTAGGTTGGCCTAAGGTACTCTATCCAGCTACGCAAAATGCAAAGCTGGGTTTGGCTCACCTTAAGCTGAGCCACTGTAGCACCTACACTGAAGGACGATGATGGGAGCTCATGCTTCTATCAGCTTCCCTTACTCCTCACAGAATGAGGAGTACTGCAAACCAGAAGAGGCTGCCCTCAGCGTTTGATTTGGGGATCTTTACTAGACCTGCTAAACTGAACGCTAGATCAACCTCCAAAGGGTTGATCTTCTCGGTAATGTAGACATACCCTTGGAGACTTTAATTTGGGTTTTTTTATCATACTGATGCTCTGTTAAACTAACAATAAAGTTCTGACCAAAAAAAATGCCCTTTTACAGATAAGTCAGAGTTTGATTTATGGCAGTAATTCTCTAGTACATTCTATAGGTTTATATAGAACTTTATGAAATCTAAATAACTGCATCACTGCCCACCTGCTGATATTCCCAGTATACTCATTTTGGAAATTACGGCAGGAATGGGAGACAAGCAATACTTGTCATTTCATATTCAGCTCACGGTTTCTGGAAAGGATTTAGGATCATTATTAGTCTCCCAGTTTGGTTCATTTATTTCTGCATTGGTACATACTAATGAAAAGAAAAAAAATATATGAAATCTTGTGTTTC